ACAATTTAATAGTGAAATTGTCATATCTATCAGATAACTTTCACTAAAACTTTGAGACTTTAACCAATTGAAGCCACGTCAACTAAACTCTGCCACAATCCCCTTCACCTAGACCTCCTACTGTTACGATATTAGAAATAATTTTGGATTATAAAAAAAAGTCAAACAAGAATTAAACATACTTTTAGTAAGATAAACAAATGAATCAAATTGTTTATAAATACGATAGACATATTGATATAGCACATTTAACACTAATACATGATTCATCATCACTTTTTATCGTGCCATCCATATTAAGCATATATCTAATCGGAAAAAATATAATTGCTTAACAAGTTTAGCAGCTGATATTCATTTTTCATTATTAATCATTGATGTTGAATCGAATTTATCATTCATTTCAATAAAACAACATTGATATGTTGAATAAGCTATTGTTTTAGAAAAAAAAACAAATGAAAAAAATTCTTGTTTTTTTTCTCAATATTTACCTGTTTTTAAGGCTTCACTGACACGAATTTCTTCTATAGATCCAATTGGGGTTGAAATTAATAATTGATCAAAATCAAATAAATTTGAATATTTAAGTATAATTTCATGTGTTTCCAATGAACTTGATACAACATTATGATCATTATGTTGTAAAAAAATATAACATACCATATCAACACACTAAAAAAAGATTTACATTGAAATTAAAATCTTTCATTATTTGTTGAATACTGATTGAAAGATGTTATTCATTTGTATCAATATTTTTTACTTCTATTTACTGATTGTTGATTATTGCTTGATTATGATTGAAATTCTTAGATATTTAAACCAAATAATTGAGGGTCGGGATGTGTAGGGATAAGCAATACAAACACTCACACCCACTTCTCAAAATGCCTGAGTCTTCTTAAAGCACATTCGCCATACTTTCTTCGGATGCATCTAACGAAGTTTGAGTGATAAATAGAGTTTTTCATACATCGAACGATAAAATAAAAAATATAAAATTTTTCATTTATTTATTTTGAAGCTTTCAACACTACTTCTATAATTATCAATTTCAAAAAAAATTTTACGATAGAAAATATTTATATAGAGATTAGAATAAAGTTCAAAGTCTAATGAATCATCATTACTCAAATTTACGCTTATACAAGCATCAGTGTATTTTTTATCATTGCAACAACACGAAACGCAAAGGTAAGGTAAAAAAGGAAGAAGTAGAATATATGAAAAACGAAACGTATTTTATGATGAACACATGGTCGAAAAAGTCGTTTACATGATGAAAAAGTCATGCTTCATTGATTCATGTAAATATACGTTTGTGGGAAAAAACCAAGTAATTTTGTCAATGATAAATACAGAACAAAATCGATTGCAAGCACATAAAACAAAATTTGCTATACTCCAACATTACATAGCACGTAAGTGTATCTAGTTTCTAACATTATTAGACTAGTAAGAAAATTAAAGTTAAAAGTAAAGAGTAGCTACACACAAAAAAATGACGGTACATAAATATGTGTCATTGTTATGTTTATAAAGTAGTTTTAAGAGAACTTCGCTTGATAATACTCAGAACATGCAATCGATTGTCTTGGTTGCAGAATCTTGTATGTATAAAACAGTCTTATTGTAAAACATATTAAACAGAGTAACTGTTTCTATGCATAAATTTCAACGCGAGTACCAGTAATGAAAGGCACAATTTTTACTTTTAGAAATATTCTTTTTCTGGTCTAGCGACTAATCTGGATTGATTAGATAGAGAAACGGGTTAGACATGTCGAAGTTTGAGGACATTCTGGACTAGTTCAGACGTAGCTGCAGGAGTTTTCATGTCAGGATAACTAGTTAAGACAGGTATTTTCGATATTTCGGACTAGTCATGTCGTCCGTCCTCAGCGACTATTTGTTTCCTTAGCCATTCTTCTTTATTTATGGTTCGATGTATTTTGTCGGTAACACTCTTGAAACAAAAATGAACCAGATAGTAGAGGTTCTTGAAGTCTGTAGCCACAAGTCAGAAAAGGAATGATGTTAACCAACAAAAAATTTAA